ACGTCGTTCTGCTTTAGGCTGATAGAGGCGTAGCTAACCAGCTCTGACACATAGCTTCCTTGAAGACTATCTCCATTTTCCTTCTGAGTCTTCTCGGACCATAGTCGTACCTCGAGGTTTTTAATCTCTTGTATTACAATACTTTTATCCATTAATTCATATTATTTTATGTAACAAACACCTTTTTAGGGATCAATGGCCTCTTGTTATGATGCCAATGCTTTAAAAACAAACACAAAGGCAAACAGTTAGTAAAATAAAAATAAATAAAAATAAATAAATAATAAATGGCAAGAAAAAAACATAAGAGAAAAAAAACATGGTTAGGAAAGAAATGTCCTAGGTTTTGGAATGTGGTTTTGGGGTAGGCTCTATTTCTTCAAATTCTCCCGGTTTAGGTTCTAAAAAATGGTATCCGAGTTCTCCTTGCTGGTGCCCCCTTGGGCTTACCAGACCCTTAGTCCTAAACCCATCACAGGCTTGTGTGGACTAAGTTAAACTCGAGAGGACGCATTCCCTTATGTCTATACGGAGAATAAATTCACACGAAGACATAAGGTATATGAATCCCGAAGGCTACTTGCTTGGCATATGCGGTGAATAAATTCGCACGAATGCGTCACTTTCACCCCCACTTAAAACGGGTTCAGAGCTCGGGTTTAAAGCCTTGAATGAAAAAGTTTGGAAAGCTGAAATCACTAGAAAACAGTCAGTTCAACTATTTACTCGAAAAAATATAATCAAAGGTATGTAATAAGGATCGAAATGTTACCTTAAAATTTAAACTTACCCTTTTCGTTAAAAAGACAACTGGAAATTACCTTAGCCTGACTCACTTACCTGTCTCCCCAGCGAAGTCGCCAAGCTGTCGCAACCGTCTTTCGGTTGGGCCCCGGAATTGGTCTTCGACTTAGGAAAATGGATTAGAAGTCGCCACCGATCATTTATTTTAAAGCAAATGGGTTGATCGGACACCCTATTTCTTACCTGATCTGCGTTTTACCAAAGATGTGTCGGATTCGGGAGTCGGTTACAGTCAAAGAAGGGTTAGCACCCTTGAACTGCCCTTTCGGTACTACGTAATTTCCAGTTGTCATTGATTAAGAAAATTGTAAGTTAAACTAAAAGATAAAATGACGATCCAAATTAATCACCTCTAAGGTTTGGAAAACGAACCCTTAAATAATCAAGAAAAGTGTTAGAAAAACAAAAACGATGAAGATAAATTGAAAATAAAGAAAATGAAATAAAGAAGATATAAACAAAAAAATAAATAAATACTAACAAATATGGATGAAAAGTAAACAACACAGTTGATATGGAGATTATGAAAATAAAAGGAATATAAAAAAAATAAAGACAATGAAATAAGATAAATAAATAAAATAGGAAAAATGAATCAATGAATAAAGAAAATAAAATAAAATAAATAAACAAAACGTAGGGAAAAAAGGTAAAAAAAAGAAATACATACATATTAGCTTGTAAACTAAAAAATATATAAAGAAAAATATTTAGAAATAACGTAAAATAATATATATATATATAATATAACATATAAATAAAATAAGTAAATAATAAAATAATAATGATACATGTATATACATAACAACAAAAGGAAATAAATAATAATAATATACAGGAGTAATATCAAATATATACTATAATGTAATATTAAATAAAATAAGAAGAAAATTGAAATTCAAATCTAGAAAAAGGACTAGAATGTAAAAATAGAAAATCGAATGACAAATTTTGGAGCACTTTGAGGATGAATTGAGATTTCAGGGTGGAAATTAAATCCTTTATAAACGAGGGGACCAAGAGTGAGATTACCCCTTTTTCACACCCATTCCGAAAATCAAAGTATTTTCTCAAGAAAAGAAGCCTCGGGGGCTAGATCTATAAAAATAGATCCCGAAAAATACCCCTGTTCATCGGCAAAAAATCATTTTCTTTGGTGTTTTTCGAATACAAAATGTAACGAGACACAAGCATGCAAGCGTAAACTCAAAAAAGGTACTATATTTACCTTGTATTTCTCTTCGCAAACTTGCAGGAAAAAAAAACTCTGATTTCGCTCTAAGATTGCTCGTAATTTCTGCTTGTATTTCGTATCTCCATTCGCCTGTTACAAATGATATGGATTACATGTATTTATAATGGAAAACGCAGACTATTTTTAGAATCCTATACAAAATAGACTTCTAACGCTCTTTGGTTACTGTGAAAATTAGTTGCAGGAGGAGTCTTCGGGGAGGAGACATGTGGCGCTGGAAAATTAGTGTCTACAACAACACAACAAAAAAATTTAATATAATAACTTATAATATATTAAACTAATAAACTAACAAACTAAACTTTTTAAAATATAAGTTAAACGTAAACTATTTTTAATATAACTTTAACTATTCTTTAATATAACTTTAACTAATAAACTATTCTTTAATATAAATTAAACTAATAAACGATTTTTAATTATAATTTACTACTAAAAAACTAATTAACTAAATTTTTTATATAATATAAATTCAACAAATAAATATAACTTAACTATTTAACTAACACAAACTAATTACATATTTTTTTATATATAACTAACGACTAACAAACTAATAATTTTTTATTAATATGTAACTATCAAACATACTAATTAAATAATTTTTTATTTCTATATGATATAACTTAAACTAACAATAATATAATTTAAACTAACAAACTCATTATCTAATTTTTTGTTTTACCCTAATTTATAATAATAAACTAATTAACTAATAATTTATAACAATAAACTAATTTAAATAATTATTCTTTTATATAACTTAAACTAATAAACTATTTTTTTATTATAATAAAACTTAAACCACTAATAAACTAATTAACTAATTTTTTTTTATATAATATAAATTCAACAACCAAAATATATAACTTAACTATTTAACTAACTACAACTAATTAAATATTAGACTAACTAACACACTAATTAATTATTTTTTAATATATAACCATCAAACAAACTAATTAAATAATTTTATATTTATGTATGATATAACTTAAACTAACAATAATAAAACTTAAACTAATTAACTAAAATTTTGTAAACCCTTAAACTAACTAACTAATTAACTCAAATTTTGTTTTACCTTAAACCATAAACTAACAAACTAATAATTTAAAATAATAAACTAATTTAAATAATTAAAAAACTTACATTGATGTTGTGCTATCCCTTTCTTCTTCTTCCTCTTTTCCCTTGCTCTCTTCTCCCTTTCTTTCTTTTATGTTTCACTCATTAACCCCATCCAATATATAATACAACCACCCACCTCGTCTGCTTCAATTATTCACCCTCAAATTGTCATTCACGTGAGCTGAAGGACTACAATAATGCAGCAATAAGGGCTGCAATAATGCAGCAATAAGGGCTGCAATAATGCAGCAATAAGTGCTTCAATAATGCAGCTGAATTCACGCTGTATGGGAGCAGAGGCACTGCGAGAACAGACCATAGGCATGCATGGTGACCTATCCCATACCACGCATGGCCCATGCAAAGCACCAAAGCAGAGCTTGTAGCAGAGGCAGCTGGAATCACAACGTTGGTCGCCCGGGCGTGCATGGCGACCTACAAGGTCGTTGGGAGTGCATGGCGACCTTGTAGGTCACTGGGAGTGCATGTCGACCCGTGTTGGGGATGTGCATGGCACATGCAACCGTTTAAAACGTCCATTATCTGTGTGCAGCTCGCCGGGAAGCCGTGGTGACGTAGTAGGTCACCTGAAAGGCATGGCGACCTACGACCCAACTGTGGATTTCACCCTATTTCAGCAAATAATATGGGGAGTGCATTATCTCGTGAATTATTTATTTTGAAAGCATTATATCGTGATTTTTGCCATATTTGTTTAAACAAATGTACAAACCATAATCCAGGGATTACCGGGACATGTTTTTATTCGTGACATGATGTTTTTATTTGTTGTCTTCACTCTTAACATTTTGTTAATTTTGTTTGCCTCTAATTATATAGAGAAATGAAGTTCCATCCATAACCTAAACATAAAACCACCGACAAATGTCACATATTAATTGGAAATATATGCTTTAATTTTATATATTGATAATGAGATACCTACCTACGTGTGTTCCCGTGGTCTCTTTTATAGTATACAGAACTAAACTTCCAAAAACAAGTTCCATTCTTTATGGTTTATATTGATAATCAAAATTTCTTAGTAGTTAAGACTTTAAGAGAATATTTTAGAATATATAATAGTCATCATCCTTTGACATAATTTTTAGACATGCTTTACGTAATACGTTAGAGTCGGAATTAATTATCAGCTGATTATATTTGGTAAACATATTAATTTACGAGTATCTATCATGATCCATCGTTTAATACCAACACTAAGGGTCCGTTTGTTTCATTGAAAACGTTTTCCGGAAAATGAAATCTGGAAAATGTTTTACAGAAATGTAAATCATTTTCCAGAAAACATTTTCCAGTGTTTGGATGGTACATTGTAAAATGTTTTACACTGTTTGGTTAATTTTTTTGAAAACAGTTTTCAGAATCTGTTTTAATAAAGAAGCATACATATTCGATATGTTTTATTCTTTATTATTTTTAAAGGTTCATTTTTTTAATATATATAATTATATTTTATAAAAATTTGTATTTTAGATCATATTAATAATTTATGTTGATTGTGTTATAAATACACTATTTTAGGTTTATTTTATGTAGGTTTATTTTATATAATATTAATAATTGATTAAAAATATATTATAAAAGTTTATAAATCCTAAGAAGGTTTAATTAATAGTACATCAAATTAAAACAACAATAGTACATAACATTGTAATAATAATAATAGTGTCAAAATATATAATTAAAGGGTTTATGAAAATTAAAATAACAATAATATCCAATTGTAATAATGCCAAGTCTAATTCATGGTATTTAAAATGAACTTATAGCAGTGATTGTGAATACTATAGGTATAATAGCGTTATTTTACAGTGGAAATAATTTGCCAATTGGGAAAAGGAGAACTTGCAAATCTAACAAATTGTTTTCATTTTATTGGCAATAAAAATGAACCAAAACCCTGAACAACCTTCAGTTTTGGTATGGAATTGACTTTAATCTGAGCAGGTTCCCTTTCTCGAACTCACTTGGTATGGATACAAAGGAACTTCTCATAAAATCAATAAGTTTCTGTATGGAGGAAAAACCATCGGTCAGTAAATACCATCAAACAGAAAGAATGAGAGAAACATTCACCAAATATATCCCAACATGTTATTATCGATGGAAATCAACAGTCCCACAGAAGTTCTAATAGATTAGTATCCTTTATGTTGGAAGCTTCTATGTTCCATTTCATGTAACAGCTGATGCATGTATACAATAAAATAAAAAAAATATCATACATTTTTCTAGAATAGAAATAAAGGGCAGAGCTCAAAAGGTAGATAAAGACTGCCTTAGCATCTTCATAAGTTGACATGTAGCCAATAGATACTCTAACCGCTCCAGTTGGTTTTCCATTTATTACATCATTGTCATCCCAGCAAACATGCCCAGCCTGAACTCAAAGCAAAGCAAAAGTAAGACAATCATGCAGTAGGAATAGGTAGGGTAGAATGAAACAAGAACAATAAATGGTTGTTGTTGCAAAATAAACTCTAAAAGGGGAGGAAAATATCCTTCATGCAGTCATGTCCTAAAGAAAACTCACTCGTTTTCCTGTTCTCTCTAACTGTCCACTAACTTCTGCAGTTCCATAAAATGAGGTACCAGCGGGAAGCTTAACAAGAAGCAAGTCCACCAGATCAATTAACAAATAAAGTGAACAAGAGAAGAGACTTAACTCTAAAAGAAAAATACACTATCAAAGTGAAAACAGAATATGCTGAATAATAAATGCACAATGGTTTGCAGAGGCAAAATATTCTAAAATGCAAAGCAGTATTAGACCTCAAGTTTGACAATCTGCTATCCTAGACTACACTCAAAGGAATGGATATAAAAAGGAGCCTTGTTGCTCAGAATTGGTACATCCCATTTTTCATTTTCGACAATCCAATAATTTCGCAACAAAAAGTTAAAACCAGAAGCAAGACTGAATATGATCGAGAGAAGCAAACAATCAAATAAACTAAGGCATGCTGTGACAATTGGGGAAATCATTTCAATCCATTCAGATCCACAACCTAATCCCCAATCCCTAATTCAGTTATTAACTTATCAACAATTCAACACCATACCTATGAACATTGAACAAGATTAAGCGCATTCGGAGCTATAAATCTCCGAGAAACCACAACAGATATGGGATTTTAAACAATGGGGAATCGATCAAAACAATCCCTAACCTGAAATAAGCCCGAAATCTGAATTGGGTCGGTTGAATCTCCCCACTTTGGACCCTGGAATCAAAGACCTGCTAACAAAGAAAGTAAACCTATATTCAGGAACATGCACATTCAGCATTTAAATGATTCAAGAGAGGGCAAAGGGTGGTAATGGGTGAAGAAAATTACCTTCGGTGAACTTGATAAGGGTGTTTCGAAAGAGGGGTAGGTGCAAGAGCTGCCATTGAAATCAGATGGATCTTAAAAAAAGCTAAAGAAAAATATAAGAGAATAATAAAGAGTGCTTTGGTGATGAAAAAGAAATGAAGGAATTAAAGGAAGAAACAGTGAAGTTTCGGTGTGGACCAAGGGACGGGAGAAGGAAGTTCAGAATCAGTGTGGAGCAAGGGACGGGAGAAGGTGGAAAACGGATTTCCAAACGGTAAGTCATTTTACCAAACGGTAAGTCATTTTACCGTGTTTTTCCTTTAAGTTTTCCGCTGACTGGAAAACAACATTGACCTTTTATTTTACGGGAAACAAACATAGGAAAAGGCCCCAACCAAACATACCCCTAAATGTTATTATGAAATCTATTATTACAAATATGAGAAAAGAATCTAGACCTCATTATCTCTATTTCTTTTTCCTCTTCCTCTTCCTCCCCATGAAAATAAAAGAGTTAGACATCAATTAACCGTTGTTCAATCACTAATTGTGGTTTTCTGCCCAAATTAAAAAGATAACTTATTTATAGCCAGCGGAATTTAAATGTTACTATTAGCAATACAACATTTATAATTGTAATTGTACGTATACGTAACAAGATTGAAATTTTTTCTTAAATTCATTGTAATAAAAATAAAGGACGATATATAAAAAATGATGTAGGATAGAAAAAGAAAGCGGTCTTCCACCTGAGTTGAGGCCAAGGAGAGAATCAAAGAATTTGGTGAAAAGTTGGGAGTGAGTGCGTGTTTCCTGGTATGGCACCAATACCATAATATCTAAGATGGCATGCGTCCATTTGCCACACTTTTAATTATTACTTAATTTCTTCTTCTTCCCAGTTAATTATACTAATCTGCCAATTAATTATTCTATTAATCCTCAAAGACCCATAATTATACACACAAAACTTAATTTATGTCATTGTTATGCTTGAAAACGTCACACATTGCGTAAAACTTGTACTAATTAATTGACACATTTTGTTAGGTAAACACTTTAGACCGGTAGGCAATTATGATACCAAAACCGACCAAAACTCATTAAACACCACAATTATACTAAAGATTAATCTTAACAGATACAATGAAATAAATATAAAAATTATTGTTGACGCGTGTTGTTTTAATGTCAAATAATATCATTAATCTCAAAAATATAAAAGAGAAAAAGAGAAATAATATAAAGAGAGTAAGGGTCGATCCACAGTGACTAAAGAAGATGCTAATGAAGATTGCTTTTGATTTTTGAATTGGGCGAAAATAAAAGTAAAAGTAAAAAATGAGGGTTTGAAAGAAAAAATTGTAAAGAAAGTAAAATAATTAAAGAAAAGAAATTTAAATTAAAAATTCAAGATGATTAAAAATAGCCTCAGACTTCCACTTTGCCTCAAATTCCAATCGATCATTGAATAGGATTTTACTTTGGTTAAATGTCGGAAAATCAAATCTATTTTAGAAATCTCAATCCTTGTTTGGATTAATTGCGACAACCGTTGTTAACTCAAAATAATTTAAAAACGCTTGGAAAAGCCTGACTTAAATTATGCTTTCTTTATGAAAGTCGAACTCTATCCCAATTTTCCCTTAGCATGCTATCGTTAAGTTTGTTCTAGGAAATTTGAATCAATTGATTTTATAATCTCAACGATAAACCATAACAACATCAAAGCCAAAATCTATTTTTAAAGTGAAAACGTTTTGATTTTAAGAAAGACCATCCGCCAATCTAATTTCCAGAAAATTGAGAAATGTAACCTGAAGGGTATGAGGTGTTTTTCAATTCTCACGTTAGGAATTGAGTAATCTTTTCAGCTTTTGGCTTATAAAAACTTAGTTTTGCATGTTTGGAACCATACTTAGCATTTTAAAAAGAAAACTTGCAAATAAAAATAAAATAAAATAAACTACAGTAAAAGAAAAGTAACTTTAGAAAACTAAAGAAGAAACAAAAAAATTCGGGAGATGAGAGATGATTTTTTCAGACTTACACCCGATGAGTATTTATAATCTCCTGAAAAATCCTAAAAGATAATTCTTGAAATTAAATCCTAAAAATAAAGATAAATCCCGAATTTAAATTCAAATTCGCGGCTGAGTCTTCTGTCTTCACGCAACTGCTGACTGAACCTTCTAGAAGATGCTGACTGGATTTCACATCAGTGCTTTCATGCCCGGTTTCATGCGCACTATGTTGCCCATGATTATGGAAAAATAAAAAAATTGCATAACTTCATCTTTTAAGTGTCCTTTTTAGAATTTAGGGTCATGCATAGAAAACAAGTAGAAACGCCCAAATAAATAACAAAATCTAATGAACAATGAGAAATTTACTATAAAATATTAACTATTTAAAACACTAATCAATTGTGCAAATGTTATTATGGTTGCATATGTTTGTTTGAGTTGTGAAAATATGAATTTATGTTATTATGGTTGATGGTTAATGTTTGATAGTGTTTAAGATTTATTTATGCAAATATTTTTGTGTCTTCTTTTTTTAATTTTTGTTTAGTTGTCGGTGACATTGATTTTAATGTTGGTTACCGCCCGTCAGTGATTATTAGTTCTCTTATTTTTTATATTATGCCCTTTATTTTTTTCTTGAGTTTTTCTAATTTTGAATAAAAATATATATCATTGTCACACATTTTTCTCTGTTCTTGCGGAATGATTCTTATGGTTTTTGGTGCGTTTTTCGCATACCTTTGAGTAGTGGCGGAGCCACAACTTGGTCAAGGTGGGCACATATCCGAATTTTTTCGATTAGTTACTTATTTTACTGATAGCGTGTAACATCCTCAATACCGGGTTAGTGACCAAATTGTAAAATTTTAGAATTTGGTGATAAAAGTAGAATAGTTGAATAGTTCAATCTTTATTTGGAAATATTTCCTAAAAGTTATTAGTAATTATCAAAGGAATTAAAGGGAAAATGATCATTTGACAAGAAATATATTTTTTCTTTCTTTGATAAATATGAATCATGTGGGGGGTGGGGGGAGAGTTATCTGAAAACTCTCTTCTTCTTCTTTCTTCTTCTTTCTCTCCTCCCGTATCTTCAAGCTCAAAGGTGAGTTTTCTATTTAGTTAATTTATGGTTAAATTTAAGGTTGAGTTATGATCATTATATGATAATTAAGCTTAAGGAAAGATTAATTTGTTCTAAAACAACAAGATGAAATGTATAGAAGAGATTAAAAAAAATAGGTTTTTAGATGAATTTCTGGAAAAGAGTTAATAAGTGAATTTGAGAAGAAATTTGACTTGTCATCACTAAGAATAAGAGATTTATGAAGTTAGAAAGGATTAATAACAAAGTTGAAAGTTTAGTAAAATTCTTAATTTTAAGAATCATGATGAGATATGAAAGATAAAGATGGTTTTTATAGATATAAGTTGGTTTAAGTAATGGTAGTTGAGTTTAATGACATGATAGGGGCTTAAAATAGAAGAATTGAGTGAAGAGTTGATGATTTTCGAACTTAAAAAGTGATTTTTTGGGCAAGGGGTATCGGTACCCATTCAATAGGTATCGACACACTCTTAAACGAAATTTACAGATTTCAATAGGGGTATCGATACCCTAGGGGGAGGTACCGATACCACCCTAAGAGAAAATGGAATTAAGCTTTTCGTTTAGTCCAAGAAATGAAAGTAACACTTTCTTTAGTTCAAGAAAGGAAAAATTGGAGTATATCAATTGGATTATTGATATGGATCTATGTATTGTTATGTAGATATAGAACGTAGTATCGTTCCAAAACAATCAAAGAATTAGGATCGAATCAAAGCAAGGCTAAGGTGAGTGCAATTTAATTTGTACTTATATAATTGAATAAACATTAGCTTGCGATGAGCCAGTGATGGAGTTACTATGGTAAGAAGTAACTCCTAAAATATTATTTGATTGGTGATCGATGTGATGATTTGTATGATTATGTGATATGTGTTATAAGACAATGATCTAAGTGACTACATGAAAATGTTACATGAACCATGTGATATATGCTATGAGAAATGACCCATGTGACTAAGTGTGAAATGATATAAGTTATATGATTACATGTATGTATTAATACATCTTGCTTGCATTACATGTTATGTGATATGATATGAACCTATGTGATCTGGGTTATATGAAAAGGGATCTATGAGATCATACAAGAATGTTATACAATGATCTATGAGATCATATAAGAATGATACAAGTGATATGAACTGTTATAAATGATAATGCCCATGTTATGTGATATGAGAGCTAGTGGTATAGTTGGCATGCCAAGAGTCGAGGGTTACCTATGTCTTTCGGGACATATGTACAGGATTACCTATGTTCTTCGGGACATATGGACAAGATTACCTATGTTATTCGGGATATATGGACATATTACCTATGTCATTCGGGACATATGGACAATTTACCTATGTTCTTTGGGACATATGGACAGATTATTATACGAGCTTTGGTGACAACATAAGTGTGCACAACCTCATAGTACTCGTATACCTTGAGTTCTCACGAGTGTACCATGGGCTAATAAATAGATAATAACAAATATAATATATGTGATGGAAATGCTTTTGGTGATATGAAATGCGTTATATGAATTATATGATGTTATGTGTGCATTGGTTATACAATGGGAAATATGCTTTTATATGATATGATAGTATTAATTATTTATGCTTTGATATGAGTAGAGTAATATCATATGTTTTTATGACTCACTAAGTCAACGACTTAGCGTGTGATTGTTTCACACGAAGGTTTGGAAAGCAAAAAGAGAAGTAAAAAGTAACAAGATAGGTCAGTTCTCCTTACCGAAGATCAGATCAGAAATGTAGTTGAATTACATGTATTTTGTTACATAGAATTTAGTTGGCTTGTAATATAAAACATTTGAATCCGATATACTCTGATCGAGTTTTTTAATATTTTAAACGTATTTATGTAAATGATAAATGTATAGCTATGGAAGTTTAAGTATTTTGTGAGTTTTATATGTTTTGCCGAAAGTTACTATAGTAAGGGCATCGATACACTGTAGCAGGGTATCGATACCATTGTTTAATTCTAAAAAAATTTAACATTCGGTACTGTTCACGATACTGTGCATAGTACTATTTACAGCACTGTTCATTATTGTTCACAGTACTGTTCTTACAGAATAATACTGTTCATACCATATATTACT